GGCCACTGTTGATGTCCTTTTATTTAGTCATGTAAGTTATTAAATGAATTCACTTTAAGAATCACGTGACTTCTTCTCTTGTAGCCCATCCCAGCAGGGCTAGGACAGAGTGGGAACTAAGACAGTTCCAAGGCTTATCCCTGGAAGCCCATGGAACTGTTACCACAGAAAAGTCACAGCTGGGTGACTGCTGCCCCAGCAGGGTATGGGGACCTGCAGGAGGGAGAGGGGTGCACCAGAGTCTTGAAGTGTGCATAAGATTTTCAAGGCTGAGGAATCAACTTTTCAGTGATTTCTTGGTATCATTACAAAAGCAATGCCAACCAGACCTTAACTTAAAAAAAAAAAAATCATCAAAAACACCAGTTGGGGTAACAGGTGACACAGGCTTGTTACCCCAACTAGTCTTCAGGTGACTGAGACAGGACAATCAAAAGTTCAGTCTCAGCCTAGAATACTGAATGAGTTCAAAACCAGCCTGTACAACTTAATGAGAGACTCTACCTTAAAATACAAAGGAGGGCTGGGGGTGTGGCTGAGTGGTAGAGCCCCTGCCTAGAATCCCTCGGGAGGGGTTGGGGTGTGGCTCAGTGTTAGAGCCCCTGCCTGGAATCTCCCAGTGAGGGGCGGGTGGGGATGTGGCTCGTGGTAGAGCCCTGCCTAGGTTCCCCCAGTGAGGCAGGGGTCTTGGCTTAGTGGCAAAATGTCCACTAAGCATACCAGGTTCTAGGTTCAGTTCCCAGCTCAGCAAAAAAGAAACACACATGCACACTCAAGCTCCAAAGCAATTACAGGGCAAATAAGAGCAAGGGCGGTGTGGACAGAGGACTAGCATTACTAAAGATTACAGGCAGGAGAGACACATTTGAAGAAACGTCCCTCGGGGCAGTGCGATGACTTAGTGGGTAAAGGCTCCTACTGCTAAACCAGACCAGCCTTGTTTGATTCCTGGGATCCACGTGGTAGGAGAGGACCAAATTCTGAAAAACTTCTTGAAAGAGGAGATCCCAAAATAGATTTTCATCCCTGGAGTTCAAATCCTTCCCAGAAGCCAGCTGTGCCTCCCTCTGTCAGCACCTCAGGCATTTTGTAGCCTCGGTTTCTACCGTAAAGCCGGACGGTCATGGGACCAAGCACAGTGTTTTTGAGCAACGATAAAATCAATCAGTAGAAGTGCTTGACATAATTCCGATAAGAAGTCAACAATAGTGTCCCTTTAAAGTCCCTGCCACTCACCGCCACTGCCCTTATTGCAGTTAGTGTTTGCACAGTTACCAGAACGTTCTGTTTGCTTAATGTCCGCCTCGGGCAGGCACTAGAACTAAGCCATATTTCAGGCTTCTGTCAGTGCCGGTTCCGGCCAGCTCAGGGCTGTTCATCATTCAGTCCCACAGTGTTGATTAAGCATTTATTATGTGTCCTGTCTTCAGTTCAGGTGCCAGGGTATAGATAGCAACCAAGACTAACTCAAGGCAATAAACTAGCTGGATAAACAAAGGACCGGGGCTGAGTATAGATAGTGTGGATAAGTAAAGGGGTGAGCTTTTGAGGTGGAGGGAACCACAGATGCAGAAATCCTGATGCCCGTGGCAGTGAGAAAGGGGAGTTTAAAGAACAAGAGGAGGCTGGAGTGACTGGGACAGCCAGGAGGGACACGGGGCCAGGGAAGTGACAGGACCTGGTCACATCAAAGTCGGGGCTTAGAGTAAACCCTGAGCCGACCCAGCTGGTCACGAGCTTTCCAGGCTGGAGGTGAGGAGAGACTGTGGGGCAGGGACAGGAGCAGAAAAGGAAAAGAAAACTTCTGTGGCGTCTGTGTGGGAAGGAGTGGAGGCTGGGGTGAAGGGGTAATGAAAGTGGAAAATGGAAGTCGGTGTTAGAGGCCGTGGGATTGTGGGCAGGTTAGACTGAGGGCGAGGACTTTAAGAAAGATGCTGAGGGGTCTGGAGACATGGCTCCCAGTGGCTAAGAGCCTGCATCGCTCTTTCAGAGAAACTGGGTTCAGTTCTCTGCACCTGTATGGTGACTCACAACGGCCTATAACTCCTGCTCCGGGAGATCTGGCGCCCTCTTTCGCTGTCCACAGGCACAGCACACATAAACTACACATACACACAAATAAATAAAAATAAATAACACTTTAAAAAAAGAAAGGTACTTAGGTTTGCATTTTGAGTGCCACTTGTCGATAAAGGTTTGCTTTATGAATGATTTAGTACGATAATGTTTAAAAAATTACCATATGTTGGGCCAGTGAAGTGGCTTATTGGGTAAAAGTGTTTGCATTGCAAGCCTGATTTCCTGAGTTCAGCCCTCC